ACGAAAAGAAAAACTTAAGAAAACTGAGTTGACTTATGAAGAAGTTCAATGAGCAGAACATTGTTTGCTAAAATTAATTTAGCAGGAAAGTTTTGCCGGAAGAAAAATGAAAATCTTGAAGAACATGCAAACACTCAGAGACAAAAATAATATTGTTCGACTCAGAACAAAGCTTCTCTTGGGAGATGAAGAGGAAAATTTCAAGTGCCCCATATTGTTGCCCAGAAGCCATGAGATTATTCATCGACTGGTAAGGCAAAAGCATTGTGAACTACAGCATGCAAGACTTCGAACTCTGATTGCCAATTTAAGAGAAGATTACTGGATTATTTTGATCAATAGATTAGCGAAACAAGTTAGCTCTAATTGTATTTCATATAAAAGATTCAAAGCCAAACCTACAGAACCACCTTTTGCACCTCTTCCTAGGAACAGAATAAAGGCTGCTGCAGTTTTTGAAGTTTCAGGAATTGATCTCGCAGGCCCTTTGTATTTGCGTTCTGGCGAAAAGACATAGTTGTACTTTTTATCTGTGCCATTTATAGAGCTGTCCATCTTGAATTAGTCAATTCCCTGTCTACAGAAGTTTTTATTATGGCTTTAAGAAGATTCTTTGCTTGAAGAGGTAGAGTAAATATAATCTACACTGACAACGGTACAAACTTCATTGGTTCAAGCAATGCTCTAAGAAATTTAGATTGGGAGAAGATCATGTCGTTTTCCACTATCAAGAAAATCAAATGGAATTTTAACCCTCCAACAGCCGCCTGGTGGGGAGGATGGTGGGAGCGCATGGTTAGAATGTTGAAAGAGATGCTAAGAAGAATTTTGGGAAGGAAAAGTCTTGATTCTGAAGAGTTGGAAACTACAACAAACTCTAGGCCTCTTATATATATTCAAGACAATTCGGAAGGTCTGAAGCCATTAACTTCTGCTTGTTTCTTACAAAGTATTCCTAGCAGTGTAACAACTGATTTAGATGAAATCGACAGTGAAAGCCTAAATATAAGATTGCGTTTTGTACAAAAATTAAGGCAGGATTTAAGAATGAGATTTCGGAATGATTATTTAGCAATGTTGATTCATACAGGTAAGAGCCGGGAAGAATCTTTAAGAGTTGAAGAGGTCATTCTTTTAGAAACTGATGGCAAGTGTATCAACTGGCCTTTAGGAATCGTCATTAAAGTCTTTTCTAGAGCAGATGGGCACTCAAGAGTTGCCAGAGTGAAAACAGCTGATGGAGAGAAGTTAAGACCATTCCAAAGACTTTATCCGTTAGAAATCAACAGTTCAGAAAAGTTACCATTCATTGCCCAAGATGCTCGAAGGGATGAAAGTGCTCTACGAATATGCCTCTATGCCCTGCAGGTAATGAGTCAGATTCCAATGAAGATGATGATTCATCACCCAAAATTCCAGATTTTGTTACTAGAGCTGGTCGACGTGTTAAAATTCCCAATAGACTTGATTTATAACTTTTGTTGCATGAAAGGTGCGATGTTGTTTGAGTAATACCAGCTACAACTCAACTCTGTTTAAGTTTTATGTTTTAAAAAACAAGCTCTATTGTTTCTTAACATGAAATATTTAAGAGAATAACTGCTTCTAAATTTTTTTAAATATCTGCAATTAAAGTGTTTTTCATATTAAATCATAGTTACTTTTAAATCCTTTAAAAAGTGGATATATATATATATATATATATATATATATACATATATTTAAAGAAAAGAGAACAAACTAAAAAATAGTTGTCTTGAACTAAAAAGCATCAGCTTTGTATAAAAACTTTATTGATGTTCTAAAACATGAAATATTTAAGAGAAAAATTGCCTGCAGCGCAGTGCGGCTAAGAACGCTATTCTACTGAAACATAAACATGAACAACTGCTGCCATTCACATAAACTCAATAGTAAAACAAAAGCAGGTTGCCAATAACAAGATTATTGTAAATCATAAGATAAAATTAAACAGTGAGAAAATAAATAATGAAAGAAAGAAATGCAAATATTAAATATACATCCAACATTAACTCCCACCCTTGCCATTGCATTAACAATAGATCATTTTTGATGCAATGGCAATGGTAAAAGTTTTAGTATCGGTCTTTCAAAATGACCATTAACAGTTTTTACAGTAACAACTCTAGCGCTGCCATCTTTTCCAGGATGGATTTCAACAATGCGACCTAAAGGCCAAACACCAGGAGGCATGTTGTCCTCCTTAATTAATACAATATCACCTACAGACAAATTTGGAAGTTCTTCTTTCCATTTGTATCTTTGTTGCACGGAATTTAAATACTCCTTATAACTCTTCCAAAAGCCTTGTTTCATTTGCTGTAATAATTCCCATCATTTTAATAAAGTGGGTTTGGGAATATTAGAAAAATCCTGTTCTGGGATGCTAGTAATAACATCCCCAGTTAAAAAATGTGATGAAGTCAAAGCATCTAAATTAGCTACATCAATTTAGATGCTTTGACTGAACTAAAAGTTTAAACTAAAAAAAAATTACCTTTGTGGTCAAGAACTTTGCGCATTGAGCTGCAAAATTTAGAAAACAAGTTAAAAGAAAATTCTTAGTGCATATGCTAAAAAGTAGCTTTTTTGTTTTTGTATTTTTGCTCAAGTCTTATGCCACACTTTTATTCTATTGTTTAAAGTATGCGTTACTTTGATCAGTATATTACTTACAATTAGTTTTGAATTTTATTTGTAAATATTCTAGTTTTAATATTGTTTATTTAATGTTTACACTTTTCATTGCACTTTATTTTACTTATGTTAAAATTGTCACCAGAACCACAGTATCTAAGCTACTTTTTAGCATAAGCACTAAGAATTTTCTTTTAACTTATATACATATATTTATATATTTTTGGTGCAGCCGATTACAACCAAAATATGAGGTGCACATCTACATGTTATAGCAGTCCTGTATACAAAATTTCAACATTCTGAGGCTACTCGTTTTTGAGTTATGCGAGATACATACGGACACCATGAAAAATTCTTTTCAGATTTCATTTTAAATCAGTTTTATAATTTTTTTTTGGGGGGGGAAGTCTTTTATTCTGTCCTTATATACAGATGTCACGCAAAAACATTGTTAAATTGCATTCGATATGGTCAAAATAGATATTTTTGTTGAAATATGATGCCTGAAACTTCTCACGATTACATACTTCCTTTTTACTTCGTACAAGGAAGTAAAAAAAAAAAAAAATGTTGGAAATTCAAAATTAACTATTGAAGAATTTTAACTTTAATAACGCTAATAGCGCAAATATTAAGCTCTAGACCAATTTCACTCCTCTCTTCAGATGGAAGGAATATTTATGCTTTAACCCCTGTACATTTTTCTAAATGGCTGCTCTATTAACAACCTCTATAGAACAACAATTTATAAATAAGAGCTAAACAGATTTCTCATGAGACAAGTAACACCAGGGTTCCTAGATAAAAGACCTTACCCCTAATTGAACAAAAACCTGTACTTTCCTAATCAATACTACATTAAAAAAGAATACTAAATGCATAACCTTTTTATAAAACTTGACTGACAAAAGTAATTATATTTTTTGCAGAATCGAATACTTGGTAGATAAATTAGAATTTGTTAGACATGAGAAAAATTCAAGAATAGACTTTCAATAGGCAGAAGAAAGTTGCTTGAGCGGGTGATTTACAATTCTGAGAAACAACATATAACAAAAAATAAACAAGTACATGTCCCTCATTGCAAGATAAGAATATTACTACTACTTATAATACAAAAGCATAGAACATTACTTAAACAGATTATTCCAGATGGGAAAGAGTCACCAAAATGATTCAAAATATTTGGAAAAGGTGGCAATGGGATTATTTATTACAGCTTCATGAGCAAACGAAATGACACTTTAAAAAGGAAAACATTAAATCTGAAACTATGATGTTTGTGAAGGAAGACAACTTGTGTATCTGTACTGGTTAGGTAGAGTTGAAGAAGTTGTACCCCAGTTGGATGAAAGCATTACGATAGTTAATGCACTGGGTCTCTTTAAAAGGCCTCTCACAAAATCAATAAATTGCCCATAGAAAACAAAAAATAAAAGTAAAATTTTCACATTATGGATGGACATTATCCATTTATTCAATTAATTTTAGTAAAGTGTAATATTTTGCATGTGTAACATTGTTATTACTATATGCTAATGAATTTAATTATAACTGAAATAATTTGTGCTAAATTGTATCGCATGCGGTATGTGTATATTTGAATTGAATTGTAAATTTATACAGAATTATTCAAACCTGTTCCAATGGAAACTGAAATGTTTGGTTTAATGTAGTACCCTCTAGGTTCTATGCCCTCTTGTGAGCAAAGCCAAATTTAGTTCAGTTAGTAGTTGAAGTAGTTATGCAGCGGACCTATCATGCATTCCCTTGTCCCACCTTGTCAGTGCTAACAGAGCACTTAAATTTGCAATGGTGTATGTACATTATGTAAATAATTAAATATGTTGTTTGCCCTAGCTTAGTTAGTATTATTTCAAATCAGCACCTTCATCTCTCATATTCACACCAACACAGGGTTGGGGGGACAGGACAAAAAAAAAAGGATTTATCTAAAAAGTTTAGTGTTTTTACCTTTATAATGAATGTAAAAAAATAAGTGGCTCTGAATACATCAATAAAATAGACATCAAAATATGCAAACACATGTTTCTCTCCAAAGCCACCTACAAGTTAGCGAACCCTCTACAAAGTAGCCAATCAAATCACAGTCTTACAGTGTGAGTGTGGAAAATCAGTAAATACCCCATAAATTAAAAAATTCCTTTTCTTTTGGATTTAACTAGATAATATCACATAGCACTACTTCACGCTTTTATGTAATTTAAATATATAATTTCATGAAAATGTACAAGAAAGGTTATCCACATTAATGAATATGACTTGTACAAAATACATTTCAAATATATGGGAGGAGGGAAATGAGAAGGAAGACTTACATAACTAGTATATTCTTTCATTTCATGCTGGTTTGTATGATTACCAGATACACGGCAGCGCCAAAAACAGTCTTGGCATAATTGATAATTGTAACACCTTTGACATTTATAGCGAAAACCTACAAATGACTCTTTGTTACAGCCTTCACATTGCACCATATGGAGAACTGAAAAGAACAATAATAATAAATAAAAAACTTTAATCAAGAAAATCATTATTTTCATGAAAAACATAGTATAGAAGAGGTATATGGTTAGAAAGTTAATCATAATTGAAATCAAAACAATTTTTAGCCAATTGTGCCAAAATTTTAGTGTCCAAATTTTTTTATAGATCAACACAAACATCATATATATGTGTAATTTTATTATTAATATGATTGAATGTTGCTTTATACGTTAATTTCTTCCTTTTTCTTTATATTTCATGTCTAATTATTTCATTTAACAGACTCATTAATTTTTGCAAATCAGACAGGTAGCTCCTAAATTTTTTATACAACTGTCCATTTCAATAAACAAGTAGGCTACCTTGGTGGCCTCATAAAAGCATCTCAGTATTAAACCCACAAGGGTATTAAAATGACTGATACAACATAGAAATTATTAAAGAAATATAATAAAAAGTGATTCACTCTCTACATAAAAAGACTTTTCTTGCAGTTAAATATTTTATTTTGCAGTTTCTGAAACCTCCAATATATACGTATACATATTACTTTTCTTTTTTTAGTGAATGCATTTTATTGAATAAGTTAAAATTATAGATTGTTTCATAATTTTTCTTAGTGTCAGCCATCCTTCAGATGTGCTTTCTGAGGTTATGAAAAACTAATCTCACAAAATGTATTCTTTAAACTGTTATATATAGGGTGTACATTAATTAATGGTCACAACTTTAAGGAATAGTGTAACAGGACAAAAGTAATGCATGGCAGAATGTGAAATGTGAATGTTGAAAAACATTATGAAGAACATCGGAAGCAAAAAGTCATTTTAATCAAGAATAATGTTTGATATTTATAAGATCTGTTCAAATGTATGACCATCAACTATAATGGAGGTATCACATTGATTACAAAGTGACTATCATATTATGATGTTACTCTTTAAAGTTATGACATCCATTCTGTTATACTTTCTATGTATGTGTATATATATATATAATTGCAAAACAATTTCTTTGAAAACAAAACACAAACATGCCTAGTATTTTTGTGCATTAAGCTGCAGAAAAATTATCATTAAAGACATAGAGTTAGCTAAATTCCAATATCAGACATAAAAATTTCCGAAATGGGTTATTAAAAATTTTTATAATATTTATTATGAATAATAATAAAAATTTAATTTAATATTAGGATATACGGGTATCAGAAAGTAGATTACGTTTTGGAATAAAAAAATAAACAAAGTATAGGAAACAAATTTTATTATATACAGATGAAAGCCACACTCAAATACTACTTTTCTACATAGTCACCATACAAATTAAGGCATTTATCGTAGCGATGTACGAGCTTGGAAATTCCTTCGTCGAAAAATTCGGCCGCCTGCGCCTTCAACCACTTCGTTACCTCTTCTTGCAGCTGTGCGTCGTCATCAAAACGCTGCATAGCCAGCCACTTCTTCATTGCTGGGAATAGGTGGAAGTCGCTCGGTGCCAGGTCGGGACTGTACGGCGGATGAGGAAACAACTCCCACTTAAAAGATTCAAGAACTTTACGAGTGACATTTGCCGTGTGGGGCCGGGCGTTGTCGTGAATCAACAAGATCTTAGAGCTCAACATTCCTCTGCGCTTGTTTTGAATTGCTCTTCTGAGTTTTTGGAGAGTTTGGCAATACCTTTGAGAGTTTATTGTAGTGCCTCTTTCCAGGAAGTCCACCAAAATTACACCTTTTCTGTCCCAAAAAACAGTCGCCATCATCTTCCTTGCCGACATTGTTTGCATGCATTTCTTGGGTTTTTGGGGAGAACTTGTGTGCCCCCACTGCATTGATTGCAATTTCGTTTCACAGTTCACATGTTTCACCCATGTTTCGTCACCAGTAACGATGCGATCGAGTAAAGAGTCACCATCCTTATGGTAAGCGTCCAAAAAGTTCAACGCTGCAGCCATTCGCTGATTTTTGTGGTCCTCTGTCAAGATTTTTGGAATCCATCTTGCACAAAACTTGTGGTAACCAAGCTTTTCGCTGATGATTTCGTGCAACAAACTTCGCGAAATTTGTGGAAAACTCAAAGAAAGTTCCGTTATTGTGAAATTTCGATTTTCACGGACTTTAGCATCGACTTTTTCGAGAAGTTCGGCGGTCACTATGCTGGGTCTCCCACTTCGATCTTCGTCGTGAACATTGGTTCGGCCATTTTGAAATCTTATGACCCACTGACGCACTCCACCTTCAGTGATAATGTTGTCCCCATACACTTCACGAAGCTGCCGATAGATTTCTATCGGTTTACAGTTTTTTGCAGTCAGAAACCTTATTACTGAGCGCACCTCGCGGGATTTTCAATTAACGCAGACATTTCAAACCGTCACAGTATCTGAACGGAGCACAGCACGAACCTCTCACTAGCACGGCTAGATGCAGCAGACTGAGCTGCGCAACGCTCTGACCCCAAGATGGCCGCGCTAGCCCCGCCCCTAGCGGACACAGACGGAAACGTAATCTACTTCCTGGATGGCCTCGTATGAGTTCACTAAATTACTTTTTCATTTTAAATGTAATTTAACCCTCTTCTCTTTGATTACACTGAGGCTATCCTCCGTTGCCCTTAATTGTTGAAACTTTTTTAATTTTGATTTGCTAAATTCTAAACTATTAAATATAGCATCAAATTTACTATATAAGATATCATTTTCTATCAGAAGAAAGATCTCAATGTTATGAAAACCCAAAATTGCATTTTTAGGATTCAAGGCATTACACCAAATATTAAAAATGCGAGATTTTTGCTGAACTTAGTGACAATGGAATGCATGGAGGGGAGGAGAACCTCATCTTGATTCCAGTTACTTTTTTATGAAGATTTGAAACTAATTTTAAGGTATTTCTCCCACTTTCCTAGCGTGCCTTCGTGGTGTAGTGGTTCTGTACGTTGGGTCGGTATTCCAGAGGTCCGTGGTTCGATTCCCCGAAGGTGGTTGCTAATTTTTCATCTCTCCAGCCTCCAAAAAAATCCTAATGTCTCTACAGTGGCGCCCGAACTAAAAGGGTTGTGGATGATGACTCTCCACACACAGGATTTGACGACTGGGTCCCCTAAAAATCCCAGATGCCCTTTAAAAAGGGGAGTATATAAAGTATTTTTCCCACTTTCCTACCATGCCTTCATGATGTAGTGGTTTTGCATGCTAGGCTGGTATTCCAGATGTCCATGGTTCAATTCCTGGCGAAGGCAGTTGCTAATTTTTCATATCTCCAGCCTCCAAAAAAATCCTAATGTCTCTACAGTTTGATAAAAAGTAAACTTCTTAAACTGACAGTGACCAAACATAACATACTTATAAATCATTCATATCAAACTCGGCAGCAACTTTTAGTATTATATTTTCAAAACAGGGATACTCATTTAACTATAATTTTCAATTTAATGACAAACTACTTTCTTCTGCTGGAGTAAGATATGTTTCACAATCCTAGACTCCACTATTTTACCGCTGACAGTAGATCGGAAAAACAAATCTTGTCTCGGCAGCCTAGCTTCTTAACAATTTTTTCAGATTTCCTTTGTTTCCGCAACTGTTGCAGTTAAAACCTCTTCATTTGCCTTTTTATTTTTATATTTTTTATTTTATTTATTAAAATTTTTATTTTATTTATTTTTGTTGTTGTTACTGTTGCTACTATATTTTAAATTTTCCTTACATTTTATATTGTGTCATAACTTACATACTACACTGTGCATCTCTCATAAAGTTTCTTAATCAGGCCACATGTTGCCCGCTCTGTAGACGGCACTTTGCCATTTCTTCAATACGCAGGGTGTTTGAAACCTGCCTTAGTCAGCATGGTCTCCACATCTCTTTCAAAAGGAAAATGTTTGGTAATTTGGTTGCACAGAGACTGGAATGATAACATCAGTAAGTATAACAAGACTCTGACTAAATTTGCATGGACTGCAATAACCTATAAATAATCTGTTTGACTCCATGCTCAGCTGCATAACAGCTGCCATTTTCACCTGAGGTAGATGCTCAGGTCGCTGGTTCTTTACCTGTTCTGTAACTCAACTGAAATTTTTATCATTTCATCCTTTCATTATAACATGTTTGTAAAATAAATATGATCTTCCTTTATGGCACAGCAGTTTTAATGGCCAGCAAAATATGATTGCATGGCTTTTCAGTTATTTAAATTTTTGCAATTTTTTAACTAAAACTTTTTAATAGTAAATTCATCTTGGAGATATCCAAGTGTAATCTAAATTTTCAGGGTTTTTCCCACCTTTTGTATGTGTGTGTGTATTCATGATGACAACACTGTATTCAAAACACAAATACTGAAGCCAGCTCATAACAACTGAGAACTAATTAGTATGCTTTCAGCAGCTAAAAATTCTTTCAAACAATAAAGATGATTAAATACATAAAAACTTCAACAACTGTACTAATATACCTAACTGCTTACATAAATTACATTTTTTCACAATTTTATGGTTTGCATTCAAATACCAAATGCTTTTTTTCTTCTGATTTTACATTTATATAAAATGTGGAGTTAAAAATAACAAGAAATAATATAGTCATAAGAGCTGTTATAATCTACACCATATACTTACAAAAAAATTTTAAATACAGATTTAGTTAATTTCAATACAGATTTAGTTAATTTCAATTAAACTGTGCACTCTACATTCAGAAGAAATTGATGCACAATTAGTCATACCATTTTCAACACTGGCCATACGGTGAATCAACGGAAACCACATAAGACATTGAGGGCCAGGATCAGATAGAAGCACATCTAAGAAATCATTCACATTGATAGTAGATTGCTATGAAAGATTTTTAAAGTATTGATAAATTATGACACATTTCAAATGTTATATTAGAAAACAAATTTTTAAAAGTGGGTTTTTATCAACAGCATATATTTAACACAATTTGTTAATTCACTGCTAGGGACCATTTTATTATCACCTTTTCATATAAGCATGTTTCTATGTTAATGCAACACAAATGTTAGACACTTATAACATGAATGTTGAATATATTTCTTTCCCTATGAATTAGCAGCCTAATTAACAGGAAAACTGACAGCATAACTTTACAACTTCTACTGCTAATAATGGATTTTTTGTTTGCAAAACAAATTCAGTACAGTCAAAAGTCGTTAATTCGGACACCCATAATCCGGAATGATCTATAATCCGGACATAAAAACTAAAAACTTTCTGCGCATGCGCCGCGTTGACGCATGCTCATAGGTGTTTTACGCATGCGTGCAAGACATTTACGACTGCGCATATGCGTCTGCGCAAGCGCAGAATACGTTTTCGCGTGCGCGTTTAATGTATAACGGACGGTATAAGCTAAAATGATCTAATTATCTATTTCAGTTAATGCTGATGATTGAGCTGTTCCTTAATCTTCGAATTGGATCTGGCTTATTATTTTGTGCACTGTAAGAGCAATTTTATAAAAGTAAGCTTGAACTTTCGATTATGTCAAATAGAATTTCCGATGCTGGAGCTCCCAAAGGATCTAGAAAACGAAAGTATGTTTCGATGTCCATCAAACAAAAAACGAATTGCTACAAAAAATGGATAAAGGTATATCCTTTGCTTATCTAACCGTTCCGAAATCTGTTTATCAATTTCACGCTGCTCTGCGCGGGGGGCGCAATGAACTGGAAGTTGATCTGTCAGCACTATCGTTATCTTCAGGGCAGATCTTTTTATTTTATTCGGCTTATAATTCCTTACTAAATGTAGTATTTAATCTCGATGTACTCCGTCTTTGATATGATTAAATCAAATTCCTCGTCATTATAAATATCACGAATACAAATCAAATAGTTTTCTGGTTGCAATTTTCTAATTTCGGCTATGCGTAAGGTAGGCATGCGCGCGTTGAAAGAAATGTTTAATAAAGTAAACAAATAAATATTAAGCTTCTTTTTTTGTAAATTTTGATACCCTTTAGATCATAATTGCTCATTATTTTATAAATTACGGTTTCATATTTTTAATTTTACAATTTCTGCATGCCATCTTACCAGATTTAAACTGATGATCTATAATCCGGAATCGCCGAAGTCCCGACGAGTCTGGATTAAAGACTTTTGACTGTATTTCTTTTACTTTCAACAAGCCACTGATTATAAAATGCATTCCTTAAATTCTTCAACAGGAACTTCCCCCACTTCAACAGGAAGTAGTTAGAAGCAGTTAGTGTTTGTTGTTCTGCTTGGGCTAGGTAAAATGTAGCTTGTTATTAATTTATTGATTTGCTTTTGATTTATTTATCAATTTGAACTATACATGTGAATAATACAGTACCGCATGCATGTAGCTCTTAACTCTCTGTTGTCTAGTGATCCTGATTTAATGACCATTACTCTAGTCTATTACTTTAAAATATGAACTCCAAAGTTATTTTCCATCACCCAATTTAATTCATAACCATGCAAGAAACAGCTACGAAATAAAAGGTCGAGTTGCTTAATTTTTTTCTCTCACTTCATTTTCATTTAGCGTATTTCACTTCATGAAAAGCTCACAGCTGACGGTTCACTTGAACTAAAATCTCATATGAGGTGGAGAGAATAAATGCTGCGCAATGATGATAACATGAGTTGTGATCGCAAATGGGGGGGAAGGTGGCTGGCAATGGTCTTGAAGTGCTTATTTTAAAAAACAGGCTATAGTTATTTTGACAAGTTATCATATGCATAAAAGTAAAAATATTATCAAATAATATAAGTTACCAGGGTTCGTACACATTTCTTCACACGAAAGTACTTTTAAGGACCATTAATGAAAAAAATTAAGGACCTATGAGCAAATGGGAACTGAATACATCCAATTAAAAATATTATTCTATGGCTGAATTTCACTTTTGTAATACCATCCTAAAATTAAAATAGATTCCTAAGTACAGTCAAAAGTTGTTAATTCGGACACCCATAATCCGGAATGATCTATAATACGGACCTCAAAGCTACAAATTTTCTGCGCATGCGCATAGGCGTTCAAGCTTGCACGTAAGACCTTTACGGCTGCGAATATGCGTGTGCGCATGCACATAATACGTTTACGATTGCGTGTTTAATGTATAATGGACAGTATAAGCTAAGCTAAAATGATCTAATTTAGTTAATGTTGCAGATTGCGTTGTTCCTTAATCTTCGAATTGGATCCGGCTTATTATTTTTTGCAGACTGTTAGAGCAATTTTATAAAAGTAAGCTTGAACTTTCGATTATGTCAAACTGAATTTCCGATATATATCTACTAATAGGTAAAGGATATACCAAAGCGAAAATATGTTTCGACGTCCATTAAACAAAAGTGGAATTGCTGCAAAAAAATGGCAAAATGTCCTTTGATTATAACCTCCAAAATCTGTTTATCAATTTCACGCTGCTTTGCGGTGGGGGATGGGGGGTGGCACGCAATCAATTGGAAGTTGATCGGTCAGCACTATCCGTATCTTCAGGGCAGATGTTTTCAACGCCGCGACGTGCAATAAATTGGAAGTTGATCTGTCAGCACTATCCTTATCTGGATGTACTCATCTTTGATATGATTTAAATCAAGTTCCTCGTCATTATATTCGCTTCCGATAGTGAAGAAAGTGACACAGAGTTATTGAAAACGAAAATTTCGATGACAAATCAGTCGGTATTCTCGACACAGCAATTATAGGACTGAACAGTGGAACTTGTAATAAACAAGAAATTATGTCTGTTTAATAGAATTAAAGAGAGAAAGTATTATCACATGAAACGAAGCAACTTAAACAACTTACATTGAAAGAAATGTTTAATTAAGTAAACAAATAAATATTAAGCTTTTTCTTTTTGTAAATTTTGATACCCTTTAGATCATAATTGTTCTTTATTTCATAAATTACGGTTCCATATTTTTAATTTTATAATTTCTTTATGCCATCTTACCAGATTTAAACTGATGATCAATAATCCGGAAAAATCGATAATCCGGAATCGCCGAAGTCCCAACGAGTCCGGATTAACGACTTTTGACTGTAGTATGCATTACTACTAAACATGAATTAATTAACATAATTATTAATAAGTCTGAGAATAAAATAAACTTCATGCAGTTTATCAAGTAACATTAAATATTTTACACTTATAATAGGTTGTAGTTACTTCCAGACTTTGAAAGAAGATAAGTGAAATTTACGTTTTACAAATAGTTAGCTTTATGTTGATTTTTTTATGTCTCATTTTGTCACATACTTGATCAGTCTAGAGCAGAGGTTCTCAACCAGTGGTACACAAGAAAAAATAGGTGGTACACAAAGAAGCAAAGTATTTTTAACTTTTTATTCCAAATTTAAAATCCCAACATCCTGATTGAGTTTCTTCTCTAACACTCGTAAATTTACGCGATCTGAGCTTTGTTCAAGATTGGTGGTGGTAGTAGTACTTTGTAGTGGTGGTATTAAAGGTTTTCAATTTTTGTTTAGATGGTACACGTTAGTCAAAAGGTTGAGAACTGTTGGTCTTAAGGTTTAGTAAATAGCATGTAGATTTTGTGTCAAACAGCATAGGTTAAAATGAGAAGTAAGATCATAATCAGCATGATTCATAACAAAAGACTGAATGTTATCACCGCTGCTGCTTATCGAGAGAGAGACCTGCTGATTAGAACAAACTTGAAAGGCCTGATGTAGGCAAGGTTAGCAAGTGTTGAAAGTTAGTCAGGCTCTGTTTGATGCAGTTAATGTCATAGCTTTGTGCAGAATTCAAGGAGTTGTAACCCAGTTAGTATACATTCAGGTTCCAATAAGCCATTCAAGCACCAGAGGTGATAAAGTTGTTTTGTATTGTTTTAAGTCTCACTATATGCAAAGAATAAGTTTTACTTGAATTTATATGTTTTTGTGTTTTATCTTGTGACCACAGTGAGTATTAATGACAGGCAATAACTCGCTTTAATATGTAGAGATAACTTTTAAGGGTAAGCAGTTAGTTATAAGTAATTAAATTAGGTAAATAGGTAACTCTAGTTATTATGGATTACTATAAAATTTTATTTCTTAACAATATTTGTTAAAAAAGCCCTATTAAAATCAAAATCTAATTAAATTTCACAGTTTAAAATACATGTAATTTATGACACTGATTCTTAAATGATATTAGAATAATTACACATTAAAAGCTACAAAACATTTAGTTTTGGAACAACAACACTCAACAAAATATTTATCCTTCATTTTAATTTGAAGCCTTCTCAAACATTTTGCCTAGTTTATATTGATTTCCTTCTCTTTAAGCATCTTTCTTTTTCTAACAATAATTAGAGATTTGCCTCAATATGCAAACCAATACTCTCACTAGTTTCTGCATGCTTTATCTCCTAACTTGTCCACAACCACTCCACAATGTACCTATGAGGGTTACTTGATCTGGTAATAGTTAAATAGTCCAAAACCCCCAACAGATGTGAAGCAAATTATCACTATGTCTGGAAGTAACTACAATATCAAACAAATAAGCCTCTTATTTAAAAAGAACTTAGAACAAACATAAAGGCATGTTCTGATGCTATATTACCATTAACATAAGTCAATCACGGTGACATAATTAAACAAGAACAGTCAAATTCAAACTAAAAATGTGGACTAGTGGTCAAAGATTATACAATTTAATTTAATCTGGCTCAGGAACCCTATCATATGAGGGAACAGAAATGGAAAATTATAGTAAAGGCTGAAATCATAAACAATTGGGTAATTTACATAATAATAACTGTACATGTCTTTGAAGAATAATTTTCTTTATGTATTCAGTTTCTTTCTTCAGC